ACAATAGCTTAACAGTAAGAAGACTGAAAAGATACCACATTCTCGTTGTCCCCGATAGATAAATCCAACAAACTGAAAAGATGTTATATATAATAGCAGGGCTAATTTAATATTAATTCTTTTTTGTTATTCAAACTATTATTTATTCACACCATTTCCCATTAAAAATAAATATATATATTTCAATGTTTTATTTCCACAATTTAAGGCCAATATAAATTGTAAAACATTTTTAATTTTTATTTAATATACAGTAGTGAGCATAATGTTTAGTGTTCCAAATACTTTTGTTAACAGATACGATTCGACTCCACTTGTTGAAATTCCGTGACGTTCCGTGACTTATCCCAAGAAGAATATTATTTTCTTTAACAGGATCTGCAGCAGCCTACCACCATCGAACTGGTTTTCTGCCATATAATTGCTCCTTTGAACAGATTAAAGTCGTTTAAAATTAGTTCCATGTAATTTTATTTTTTATTTTTAAATTTAAACAAAAGCTAACATAACATTTGTATTTCTTGTTGAATTTTTAAAGTTCTCTGGAATATTCTAGGCGAAACCAACCAAAAGTCGCTGCCCTAACAGGCTTGTCCGATGTTAAAATTATACGCTAGATTCTACTCTCAAAATAATACTGACGGTGTATTTGTTTTTTTTTTAATTATTTCGCAACATACCATTTAAAATGTTGGTATGAGTTTTTATGATTTTTTATAAAATATAATTGGTTATTTAAATGTTAAATGAATATTTTTGAAAGAACTTTTGTCTGTGTGTAAATTGTTTGTATTGGTTGGTTTTTTGTATCTCCAACTTTTGTGTAAAGTTTTTGTTGTTTTTTTAAATGCAAACTTTAACTTTCAATAACCCAAAACAAGAAGTGACAAATTTACATTAAATATTTAAGTATTCTGTGGATAAACGTTTGCTAATTATGAATTAATGCATCAACTCAAGGAACTATTAATTTCAATTAACTTAAAGCACTGCTCCTGCTTTTCTAAGAAACCAAAAAAAAAACTGCACATAAAAGTGTAAAAGGCACACAAATGGATCCAATCCGACAGCCAATAAAAACTAAAACTAAAACTATAAATTCGAATAAACATTCGAACGTTGCAACTTCCACATCCCCGGCTGTTCTCTGAGCGATTTACAAGAGGTCGTAGTTGAAAATCTTCTCGCCGGGCTTGCCATTGATGTGATCATGCTCATGGGGCTTATGCGGTGGCTTGGACAACATTTCGCCCAGTGAAAACTCGTACAAGTCGATGTAGTCGCTGAGCTTTTTGTTGAAATAAACCTGTTTAAAAATAAGCAAAACAATTAGCAGGCAGTTGGGCGGAGAGTTGAAGGATTATTTGGAGCAGATGAAAGATTAAAATTCTGTAGGCTCGATGATTAGTGTGTTATATAAGAATTAGTGACCGGAATGAGACCAGTGATTAGTACATTAGTCCACATATACATATGTATAAGGCCGAAAACACACACATACAGATACCTTGGTGTGCAGCATGATAAATCACTTTCCTTGTGATGGTACAGAGCAGCCAGTATAAAATTAGCAGCACAAAAAAACACTCAAATGGAAAATATAATAATTGTGTCGTTACATTATTCCTTGGGGTAAAGCAATTGATTAGTAATACCTTCAGATAGCAACGTGCCACAAACACAATGCGTCGCAGATCGTGCACAGCCTGATGGGCATGATGATACGTTCCACCCTCGCACTTGAGTATAATCGATCGCAGATCAATAAAATAAGCATGACAGCGTTGATGAAAGTCCGGATACTGCAACAGGGAATTGTTATTTAAGACATTCATTTGAAAGCCCTACATTTTACTCACATAGTTCATTGTAAATTGTTTTTGAAAGAAATGCGCCACGTTCTGCAGCTCGAGGATTCGTTCCTTGAGCTCGACTAGTTGACGTGCCACCTCGACATTGATGGCACCATAGGGATTCATGAATTTCGTTATATTCTCGACACTACCTGATGTGGAGCCCAGCATGTCGGCATATGGCTCCAGATATTCCAGCAGCTGTTGGTGTGCTTTGGTGTCCATTTCGTTCTTTTCCAGGCTTAAATCTTTTGCCTCTGTCGTGTCGTTGCCGGTTGGAAACATGTTGCTGGGTGGAGACATGTTGCTGTGTGGATACATGTTGCCGTGTGGTAATATGTTGCCGCGTGGGGACATGTTGTTTGGTGGAGTGGGATAAAATCCCTGCATGGCATTGCCCTTCCAAGGTGTCTCCTCATCGGTCTTCACCATGGTGTCCATCAACTCACAAGTCTCTAGCTCTGGTGTCCGCTCTGGCGGCTTCGTGGGATTGGGACCATAGCAAGGCACATACGGATCGAACTCCAGCATGGGCTGGGACTTGCCATTCCCGCGCAGATCTGGCATGAACTTGCCGGGATCATCAGCGTTTTCATTCACAAACGGCGGCAGCTGTGACGGTTCCTGCGAAGCATCATAGCCAATCAAATAAGAATCATATTTGGCAATGGGCTTTGGCTTGCAGGCAGCTTCGGGTCCCTGCTGCTGTGGCTCCTTCTGCAGCGGCTGATAGGTGCCCGTCCTCAAGTAAGTGCCACTGGCATCCACATGTCGCTGCGTGTCCTCCGAGTTCTCGATCATGGTGTACAAATTCATGAGATCCTGACAGCAATGCGGCTTGTTCTTCGCTCCGCCTGCCTGCAGTTGCTCGCCTGCTCCCGCCAGCTGTTCGGACGGGCTACTCAAGTCGCAGCCACGATGGTCACACGGACTCGGTCTGTCGCGATTGCCAGCACTCGGGCTAAGATGATTGCGAGGGCTATGAGCTGTGCCAGCGTCGGGTGGGCTGCGATTTCCATTATTATTATCACCGCCGCCGTTGCCGCTGCCGCTGCCTCCACCATTGCCCGAATAAGTCGTGTGTGGACGCGCACACGCATCGAGTCTGACAATGGACTGAATGATCATATCAATCATGGGTATGCAGGCCAGTTGCCAGGTATTAAACACCTGCATAAATCCCGCTGGCAATTGATCAATTATTTTCCTAATGCCCTCCGCCTGATTGTACACATAACTCTTCAGTATGGTCCAAGCGTTGAGGATGCGTGTAAACAGGAAAATGAAATCCTTGACAGCCCAGGCAATGCCCTGCGAATTGATGTTGGCCTGGACACCATCCAGGCGGCACAGATCCTGCTTGAGGCGAGCGCACAGTGTGTCGATATTCTTGAAGCACGGACGATTGCAGTGAGCTTGGGCCACACGCTCGGATATGTCGCTGCCGTCCAAGGCCAGCTGAATGATGACTTTCAAATGCTCTTCGGGCAATTTCATCTCCGAGTTGCGACGCCCGCCTTGGCCCTCAGACAGTCCATGTATAAAATTCACAGCCCAACGCTCCATCGATATGAAGTTTGAGGCTTCAGAACTAAACACAAAAAAAAACAAAACAAATTAATTTACAGGAAAGGGAAAGACTTCCACTTGTCGTACTTGTCGGGATTCAGGGGCAACTTGGCTCCAGCGAGCTCCTCCAAGTCCATGTTGGACTGTGTGGCTGCATCTGCGCACTGGATGGGCATCGTTTGCGTTCCACTTTCCGTGTAATAAATCGGCGGTGGCGACTCGCTGGAATCGGATGAATGGGATTCCCCATAGCTGGTTGTCACACCCCTGTGCGCCGTCGGATAGAGAAAGGCAGCACGCGGCTCTGGCTGATAAACAAAACGGCCACTTGAAGAACCCCACCCGGCTTAGTGGAAAATATTGCTATAATTTGAGCTGGCAAAATGTACAGCAGACATACCCGCATTAACCCGAATACCCGAATAATAACTGACTGGCGTGGCCGGCCTAAAGGCGGCATACTGAGTCGAGAGCGCTTCATAGGATATGGCTGGTGGTATTGGGCGTGGCGGATACGGCGTAAACGGCGGAGGCAAGTACCCTGCTGGCTGCATGTTGTGGGCGTAGAACTCTCGCTGCGAGTATTGCTCCTGAACAAACACGTCGGTGACATGGCGATGGCGATCCACGTAGGTCTGATGGTACATGGACTGCTGGTGCAGCGACTGTGCGCTCATTGTTGGGTAGCGCACATAGAAGGTGCTCATATTTCTTAGCGTTCGATGCAATTATTAAAAAGATCTGAAAAAATCTAAGAAATGGACAGGAAAAGCTAAGAAAGAGGAGACAGCTGGCGTGACATCAGCAGAAAGTTGGTACAATTTTCAAAATGGTTTCACAATTTCAAGTTTTTTAAAAAAATGGCGGATTGCAAAAAAAAAGTTTATAATCACTTTTACCGGCCTGTAGTTTGTTTTTTCTGTGTGAAAATCTATTTAAAACCACGAAAATATGTGCGTAAGCTGAAATACAACACCAGAATGCAGAAAAAAAATTATAAATTGACATACCACACACATAAAAATGACTTTGATTCGTAAACAAAACAAAAATCACACAAAATTGATGCATTTGTAAATTTCACTTATATTTCCATTGTTCGTGTAAAATTAAAGCTTTAACTCACACTGGGAATGCGTTATAGTATGCCTGAAATAAGTACCTTAAAAAAAGCAGCAGCAACCGTTCACTCGAGAGGTAAAAGCCAAAATGAAATTTTAGTGAAATGGCCCGTGCCGGAAGTCCGTTCGAAAGCTATTCGATTGGTTATTTTGTAGAGCTGAGCTTCAATGCCAATCGATAATAATGATCGATGTTTTTAAAACTGAAAAGCTGGTATAGTATTTTGGGTATTTTCGGTTGTTTCCATTAAGGTGGAAACTTGAAAACTTCTTCACGTGAAACTTCTTCACTTGAAACATTTTGATTTCGAACATAAAACCCCGAATATCCACTTATCGCACAAAAACAATGGGTTCTTTTCGTTTCCTCAGTATACTTACGGCATATTTTTGTATTTTTAGCATTTTCTGTAGGGTTGTGCGGTATATTTTAGCAATCGACCCGCAGTCACACTGTACAGAAACGCCGCGAACATTTTTGCTTGTAATTTGCGTGGCATTGTTGTAAATTGTAATTTTCCATTGTAATTGTAATTGAATTGTAATGTCGGGCACAACACAGAAATACAGGAACTTTGTGGCCGAGCCCATGGGCAACAAGTCTGTCACAGAGTTGGCCGGTATTGGAGAAACGCTGGGCGGACGCTTGACCGAAGCTGGATTCGACAAGGTGCGTATGGTGCATGTGTGTTTGTGTTGTTTGCATTTGTGTGCGTGCAAATTTGATGACGCCATGTGCGCAGATAAACAAATGTTTCCGTTTTGCTGATTAACCATTTGAATGCAGGCATACACAGTGCTCGGCCAATACTTGGTTTTGAAGAAAGATGAGGAGCTGTTCAAGGACTGGATGAAGGATGTGTGCCACGCCAGCTCTAAGCAGGCCTCCGACTGCTACAATTGTCTCAACGATTGGTGCGAGGAGTTCTTGTAAGGGACACTTGACAGTCCCTTACACCCGAACACACATACACATATGCTCCGATCCGATCAAAAGGGACTCCAAAAAGAAAAATGCTTGTCCAAACAGTAAAAATCGAAATGCAGCATCTAATATAGCGCAATAAGTAAATAGTATGAATCAGTTCTTTTCATGTTCATATCGATGTTAGAATATAGGTTAAATATTTCTAAAGCAATAACGCATAATAAATGTACAGTCGAAAGGATGTGGTAATGGTACCAGGCTTGGGCCATTAAAACGGGTACAGTACGTACAGGCAAGGACTACATTTTCTGTGTAGAATTTACTAGCACTTGGCTCATATGAGAAATCATCGGTTTGGGACAGTTGTTCGGGATCAATCCCATTGTTTTGCCGGAGGCCCCGTTCTGCCCTTGTGAATCCCCTTCGTCGATGTACTTGGCCATCATGGTTGTTCCTTGGATACAATTCGAGTGATGAATCAATTATCCTGTCCACAAGATTAGCTAGATTACAGAGTAAAACACAGGCATACTATATGGTTAGTGCCTGAACGCTCCAAGAGTAACTACACATTTGCCACTTATTAACTACATGTTTATGTAATTAGCAACAGAGACACCTGACGGCGAAATGTGCTCGGTTGTTGACAAGTTTTCTACAAAGAGGGTGACGCATAACGCGTCTTGTCTTTAAAAATACTGTAACTGAGAATATGGTCAAAAATACTAATTATTTAAAAATACATGATGTGTGACATAGGCAAGGTTGTTCGGAAATATACTTTCCCGATGATGAACTTACTTTTAAATTTACTAGCAAATAATGTTCTCAGCCCGCACACAATTAATTCGTCAATCGGGTACAATCAAAGTTATAGTGCTGAGAGTCGTAACTAGCAATTATTTTAAATAAAATATCGAAATCAAGGAAAATAACTTAAGATTCGGTATATTTACAATATCTTGTTGGTATATTACCGTATATCGTTGAGGGTCAGACGATAAATCCGGTCACACTGCAGACAAGAATTACGCGTGAAAACAGAAAACACCAATGAAAATCAAGCGAAAAATTTCAATTTTTCAGCCAAACGGTGCATTAAAGTGCAAAGTAAGCAAAGCGTATCCTTTCGACAAGCTCCAAAGTGTCTGAAACGCAATAGCCGTAATTTAACAAAGTGAAAATACTTCGGCTTTGGCCTGCGTATGCGTGCGTTCGTGCGTGTGTGTGTTTTTCTTTGTATATAGACTCGTAGAGGGAGATGGCCATATAAAAATGCGAACGGGGCTGCAGGTGCGCGAGTGCAAGCGAGAGAAATATTGTTACACCGAAACTCTGTTATTTCAGAGTTCCAGGCCAAACATTCTTATGTGCGGTCCGAACGGCTGAATCGACTTTTTGTGTGTGCGCCGCTGCTGCTGCACAACATTTCGTTTCGTGATTTAATTATATTAGTGCACAATTGTAAATGGGCGCAAACGTGAAGAAAAGCATGAGATGAGCTGCAAGCCAGAACGTAAAGCACAACGCGGCGTACATACGTACCGCCAGAGCTCCCCATAATCAGAAATGTCTGTCGTCTGCTTTGCGTCTCTTCTCTACGTCTCGAGTCGTTCGATTTGATTTTACGGGGCAACAAAAAGGTAGCAACAACGTTTCCTAGGAAAAATCTGTTAATAGTAAACAAAATTGTGAAGTAAACGTCGAAAATCGGTCGTACGGTGCGTCGTGTCGAAAGTGTGTGTGCCATTAAAGGCCGGAGATAATAAGCCATTGCAAATGAAATAATTGAACGAGCTTCGGAATCCCACAACAGTGCTTAATATTAAACCAGAAAATCACACTCTATTTGCCCGTTCGTTTCCGTTAGTGTGCGTGTGTGCATCTTGTAATCTCTTTGCCATTCAAATTTCTAACCGAATGGGTGATTTACTGGTGTGTGTACATGAGTGTGAGTGTGTTAGTGCCAGTGCTGTTATCCAAAAATTTGCCTTAAATTAAATCTAAATGACTCTTCCTCCAGAAAAAATGTAAAATATTGCAAAACATCAGATGATTTTAGATTTTATCCATTTTCGGAAACCAAAGTATGGACACCACTGGAGTACGGGTCGCGTGTGACGTTGTTGTATCGTAAAACAGTGAGAGAGAGAGGGAGAGCGAGAGAGACGAGTGAATTCATAGTGAATGGTTAGTCGAGTGAGGCAAGGGCGAGGGCGGTTTCGGTGTGAGAGAGTGTAATACATAGGGAGAATATAATCGAGTGTGAGTGCGAGAGAGCAAGAGCGAATGGGAGCCACAATAGTGTCCTTATGTGAGCGGCCGTTGCCGTTGCTGTTGCCCCCACCCTCACTCCTGCACTCTCCAGCTCCTTTTTACTTTTGCGGAAAATTCAATGACCTCATTTGTCTCATATAAGGACTTTGCTTTTCTCCAGGACCAACACCAGTAAAAAGGCTAAGCAACATCAGAGCAGCAGCAGCAGCAGCAGCTAAATACAAAAAAAATATATACAAAATTGTAGCTACAAAAATAATTTCAACAATTTCAATTTCAATAAAAAAGCAATAAAACGTCAACGAAGAAATTGAGAGCAAACCCCACCAGTGGTGAGAGAGAGAGAGAGAGAGAGAGAGAGCGGAAAACGGCGCGAACAGCTGGCAAGCGAAGAAGAAGAAAACGACGAGCAGCAGCCAGAGAGAACCAGGAGGAATCAACCAGGAAGCGACTCCAACACAGTGTTAGGTCAACAAATGGGAACCAATTCGGGAGCCACCGCTGGCATCAACAATAAGCCGGTTGGCGGTGCGGGTGCCGGCGTTCTCGGCGGCGTTGGTGCAAATTCATCAATTGGCGGCGTCCTCTCCAACAGCTTGGGTGGCGGTGGCGGAGGTCTGAGCATCAGTGGCCTCAACTCTGGTGGACAGAACGCGAATGTTGGCGGCTTGGTCACCGGCATGGGCAGTGGCAACAACATGAACGACGATGGCGGCAACGGCATGTCAGGCGGCGGTGGACCAAATAATCAGCAGGCCACCACGCCCCAATACACAATACCAGGCATCTTGCATTTCATACAGCACGAGTGGTCGCGCTTCGAGCTGGAGCGCTCACAGTGGGATGTGGACAGGGCCGAACTGCAGGTGAGTGAGTCATTCTCAAACGAAGCAGAGCAGGAGGAGTCGTCCTTTTGGGCATAACGTTACATTGCCTCACCTTCCATTTCAATGATTTTCTCGAATCGAGGCGCTAATGCATGAACATACCATGGAGAAAGGGGAGGATGGGGAGCATCCGCATGCAAGCGAATCGAGCTGGGCAATTGCCGTAATCGAGTTTATGCTCTGTTTCCTTTAGAACATCATCTGCCCAAGGGACAGGCAGGCAGGGCAGGGCAGCCCGTCAGGGCCTTATCGATTCCCGAAAAACCTTTAACCGCCAATTTGCAAGTCGCGACGCGACACGAAACGACGGACACATGGTGCAAGCAAAACCCTAGACACAAAGAGAATTCGCACAGACAGTGGCAGGTTCTGGCTGTGAAGAAGAGAACAAATTTCACATACACCGACACAACGGGAATCCTGAGAGCTAAGTGGATATAATAGACAGGAGGGATCAGGCAGATGAAATCTGTGTCTTCGCAGATTTCCATCCATTTCTCTTGCAGGATTTATTCCTGTACTTTCTTGACAAGCTTAGCACCTCCTTAGAGAGAGTGAGAGAGATGAACAATCACTGTCAATGTCCCCGCCGCCCACACGCCTTTTCGCTTTCACCTGTCAACCAGCTAGACGCGTGTGTGTTATCGATATCGATCACACGCGCTGCAACCTGCCCTGCGGATGCGATGCTGTATTTTCCGTCACGCTCTGAATGCAACGTGATTCAAATCTCTCCCCGCTCTCCTCTCCCACTCTCTCACTGGGATTTGCATCTTCTCTGGGATCTGAAACAAGTTACAACAAGGCATATTTGTCGCTAAAAATGTACATATGAACCTGTTCGCCTTGTTTGGTGTTTTTTGTTTGTTTTGCCCAAAACGAAGGAAAAGAAGTTCGAGTGGGCAACTAGACAGCCACAACAACCACACTGACCGCCGCTGGTTAAGCGACATTCACATTCACATTCACCCACCTTTCAAATAGGGGGACGCCATTTTAGTTGGTTTCGTTGTAGTTTCTGTTATTTTTTTTTTGCATTTGTCGTCGCGTTCTTTTGCATCTATTTCTGTCCATGCTGCGGCCGGCAAAAAATCTTTGCATCACATTTGTGTGTCAGTGTCTAGTGCAATGATGGGGCTAGCGTCCTTGTACATATGTATGTATATCTGCACATACGCCCAATACATGTGCTTCCGACTGCGGCTGTCAGTCAATTAACTTATATTATAACTGCTCCCCGGATTCAATAAACACTTCTGACAAGCAAACACAAAACACTCATAAAAGAAATGGCGTCGCCAGCAGCTGTTAATATATTTTCAATTATTTTACAATTTTCCTTGTTTGTGTTTGTGTGTGTGTGCGATGTGGCTATGTCATTTATAGATTAGAGAGCAAAGAAACGGAACATCACTTGAATTTATCATAATACTCATTTTATTCATTTGATTTGTGGAAACTAAGAAAATAGGATGCTATGATTTTTAGGGATTAGCGGAAGAAGTTGGCCAAATAGGAAATGCTTATGGGAGAGCCCACTGTTAAGAGCCACCCACACGCATTATCCAATTAAATAACCTAGCAAAAATATTTTCACCAGAAGCGTCTCAAAAGTTTATTAACGTAACAATTAAGACTAGAGCCTTCTAGGTAAATACGTAACCAAATGCGCTTTTGTCATGGAATTCCATAATTTCTAATTGTAAATAGCAAACAAAAGCCAGTTGCATGTTAGCGAACGATTTGTGAGGTGGCGTTGTCGTGCCCGCCTGCCCTGTCCCTTTTGTGGCACTAAGTTGCCTGCCACCTTATTCTACTGCATAAAATAGTCTTCATTTCATCTGCTGGTTGATTTTAATTAGCAAAACTCAAAGAGATCCAAACGAAATGCCATTGAGCGTTAATTTAAATGCATAACATGTTTCCATTAAAAGCGGAACCAAGCAACAAGAAAGAAAAATAGGCTGGTGCATCGGTATCCGATTAGTTTAATACACTTCCTAGGGGACTTGCATATATTATGTACATTCCATTGATATTAATTATAAATATTAATTATTAGCCAAAATTGATTAGCTCGCGCGATAATCAAGAATCTATGTATATACATATTTTTTATCTGGCAATGTATTTATTCTCTGCACCCAAATAATCGAAGAACGCCTCTGAAATGGAAGGGTATATAAAGCATACCACAACAGAATAGTCTTCTCTTCCCTCATCGACGCACACACACTTTTGCTGTTACCATTAGCAGTTAGAAACGAGACCGTTACTGTTGTTAGTTCTGGCAGTGCTCCTCCTTTTCCCTAACTCATTGCACAGCGTTCTCCCTTATTGCCTCTTCTTACTTTTGGGTGTGTGTGGGTGTGTGTTTTTAGGGGGCGTCGCTGTGACTAACAGAAAGCGCAGCGAAAGCAAAAGTTTCTCTCCTTTACGCACAGCAGGGAGTGGGGTAGCAACTATGTCAGGTGCAGTACTGCCCCCGCTGCTCGCCCTCAGTCTGCAGTATCAAAAATGAACAGCGAATTGCGCAGTCATAACTGCACATTGTTGCTGAATGAACACAAGATGGGAGGGATAGCTACGGAATGATGGATAGAGAGGTAGAGAGGGATAGAGAATTGCAGTTTTTACGCATTTCGCTTAATTGAGCCCCCGACAGGCAGTGGCTTACTCGCTCTTGCTCTTCGGATACCCCTCTCCTATATCTCTCTTACCCACTTACCCACAACATCAATTAATTATGCCAGTTCTCTATTGTTGTTGTTTATATACATTTTTTAACAATTAATTGAATTTAATTGTTTTTCGTTGGCTTGACGCAACGGAGCGTCAATTATGCGCCACAACCAACAATAACAACAGCGAAACGCAAACGCAAACGGAAAGAAACGCAATTGGATTGCAACGAGAAACGACGCAATCGTAGAGAAACTGCAGAAATAATAAAAGAGGGACAGGCAGAAACCATATGGGAAAGCCAAAGGAGCTCTAAATTAATTACATTTTCTTTAAAACATTTATATTTGTATGATTATATCTAAAATGTATTGGCCATTTTTATTGCCCCCCCCCCCCTTTTTTTTTGTGTGTGTCAATTTTCGATGACTAACCGTTTAGCTAATAAAATCTCTCTATAACATTCGTTTTAGGCACGAATTGCAATGCTTTTGGGAGAGCGCAAATGTTTGGAAAGTCTCAAATCGGATCTGACGAGGCGCATCAAGATGCTGGAGTATGCCCTGCGCCAGGAGCGGGCCAAATTCTATCGATTAAAGTACGGCACCGATCCGCCGCAACTGAACGAGTTTAAGCCGACAAATGAGGATTCTGGGCTGACCGGCGACGTGGCCACCGATTCCGAAGTACCCTACAGCTCTGTGTCGAACACCACGTGGCGGCAGGGTCGGCAAATGTTGCGCCAATATTTGGCAGAGATTGGCTACACAGACAACATCATCGATGTGCGCTCGAACAGAGTACGCTCGATCCTGGGGCTGAACAACAATGCGGAGCATGATGGCAGTAGCGGCGGTCTTGGCACCGGCGGCGAGAATCTTAGTCCGAACATCAATGGCAACGAGAGCAACAAGCGGGCCTCGGACACGGAAGGTAGGCGAATTGTGCATTTACCCCCTGTTGAAGATTTGAATAATTTGCTCACATTAGGCCGTCATACTCCCGCTAAAAAACAAGTTCAACAAGCGTCAGATGGCATCATCATTGACACCGAGGCGGCGGTAATGGCGAACTTTGAGTTCCTTGGCCCCACAGAGATGTCCGACGATGATGAGATATCCGATGATCTGGAAATGGTGGCCACCGACAGCGATGACACGGACGTAAAGCTGGCCAAGCGGGCCAAATCTGGCAAGGATATGCTGACTGAAGGTACGATTTTGATCCACCACGAAGCAAATAGACTGCTAGAAGCCACCCAGTTCCGACGCCCTAACTCCGCTGCATGGGTCACCGTCTCGTATCCTCGTATAACATAGTTGTCTAGTGCTTGCCCCCCACAAAAACAAAACCCCTAGAGATTCCAAAACTCCTCCCACTGTGTGTTACCTTCCTCGTTGTTAGTAGCAATCAATCAAAATCAATCAAGTCTTCTAGCTTAGTCTGGCTGCATTATTGTCATATTTGTATTTGTTTTCTGCTTCTGTTTCCTTTGGCTGACGCTCCATTCTTCTACGCTCACGTAGATCTTGAGACCGAGGTGGGAGAGCAGCTCTTGAACGATATGAATCTTATAAACGAAGGTGCTTTTCAACAGAACAAACAGCCGACATTCTTCTTGCGCTTCTTGCCAAGTGTAAACCATCGAAAAGTTAACCAAATAAGAACAGAAATCGATTGATTGCCAAATTGGTATACTTTTCGATGGTTGCCACAACAACACCGAGACTCGTGTATTAATGTTCCCCATATTAATATGCATAATTTATTCACAGAAGTTGACGGCTCATTGGGACTGGGTGAGTTGGCCCAACTGACGGTGAATAATGAATCGGATGGAGCGTACGATTCGAATGCCAAGGATGGCACTGGCGGCAGTGCCGGCGGTGCTGGTTACCGCAAGACCTGGAATGCCAAGTATACGCTACGCTCCCATTTTGATGGTGTTCGTTCGCTCATTTTCCATCCGGAGGAGCCAGTGCTGATCACCGCCTCCGAGGATCACACGCTCAAGCTGTGGAACCTACAGAAGACGGTGCAAGCCAAAAAGTCAGCTAGTCTCGATGTGGAGCCATTGTATACGTTCCGCGCCCATACGGGTCCTGTCCTTTGCCTGGGCATGTCAACCAGCGGCGAGACATGCTATTCGGGCGGCCTCGATGGCAACATCGAGTGCTGGCAGCTGCCATCGCCCAATATCGATCCCTACGACTGCTACGATCCGAATGTGCATTCGGGCACCCTCGAGGGTCACACGGACGCCGTCTGGGGGCTAACGACAATGCAGAATAATATTGTATCGTGCTCGGCCGATGGCACAGTCAAGTTGTGGTCACCCTTCAACAAGGATCCAATGCTTCGTACCTACACGGCTGCCGAGTCGGAGGGTGTACCCTCGTCCGTGGACTTTGTACGAAATGAGGTGGATCACATTGTGGTGGCTTACAACAGTGCGCATTGCATCATCTACGACACGGAGACGGGCAAGCAGGTGATCAAGCTGGAGGCGGCACAGGAGATGTCGGGCAATACGGGGAAATTCATTAACAAGGTGGTCTCCCATCCCACACTGCCCATCACAATTACGGCGCACGAGGATCGTCACATTCGCTTCTGGGACAACACATCCGGCACTCTGGTGCATTCAATGGTGGCGCATCTGGAGCCGGTCACATCGCTGGCCGTGGATGCACATGGTCTGTACTTGTTGTCCGGCTCGCATGATTGCTCGATACGGCTGTGGAATCTGGACAATAAGACGTGCGTGCAGGAGATAACGGCGCATCGCAAAAAGTTTGATGAGAGTATATTCGATGTGGCATTCCATGCCACCAAGCCGTATATAGCCAGTGCCGGGGCCGATGGACTGGCCAAGGTGTTTGTCTAAGAGACCCCACCCCAGAGCCCGTGCACGTGCCCGCCCCCATAGAATGCAGAATCCAGAATCCACAGCCAGAAAGCAGCTCCACAAGCAAAGCGATTACGAGTTCGAGTTAAATAATTATACATACACATTATATATATATATATACCTTATACATTTAAATCTAATTATATCACACGAAAAGAACAACAAATTATGCATTATATACATTAACTAACAAAAACGAAAAATTGCTATTAATAACAACAACACAAAATAACGGAAAAAACAAAATTCAATAAATTAAATGGCATTTCAGAAAGTAGAAAAAGAGCAAAGCAAAAGTCAAGTAAGACCATGAAATTGTGTGTAATCTAGGAAAGTAATACTAATTCTAAAGCAATGCAAACAAATTGGCATAGATATAATCCTCCTCCCCCCCCATAGACACTAAATATTGTGTATTTGTTAATAACACACACAGACAACAAATGATGCATTATAGATAATAGTTGTATGTAAATGCCAAAAAGGAACTTGATCTTGTTTGAGGTAAAAACTCTTCAATATTGATTTCCTTTTTTAGGGTTTTAGTTTTAGTTGTATAATTGGTGGGCACTTGCACAGCGATTGTTTGAGAGCTGTGAATTGAGAGAGAGAAGCCTGCCCACTTAAACTTTCTGTACATTTACTTATTTGATAGTGGATTGATTGAGATGGCTGAGCATTTCTTACATATATAGAGGCACGCACGCTCGCTGTGCAAGTGCCGCCGCCCTGTAACACTCACACCTGTAGAGTGGACAAAACAAAACGCAAAAACATGTAGACGATCAAATTTTTTTAGTATTAAAATAATCATATTGCATTATGAACCACCCCTCCCCCAAACCATATAACACCCGTAATACCTTAGCGAAAGAGCGAAAGAAATTTGTAAATGAACATTAATTAGAGGGACAACCGAGAGATGTGGGATAAGTCTAGGCGGATATTTATTTCAAAAGCCACGCAAAAAAAAAGCAAAAAACAATACAAAACTTTATTAATTACTAAGTGCGAAGAAAAACAAAAAAAACAAAAACTGCTTATATATATTCTATATGATTTCCGTTTGTCATTAAACGATGGTATGCAATGTGCTTGATTGAATATGGGGAAAAATATGATGATGATATATAAATGATAATTGCAGGCAAGCTATAAACTGTGTACGCTAAGCTATTTATTTAATTTATGCCTAGTATTAAAGTAAAACAAACAAAAGAAACATCGTGTCGCCTGTTCTAAATTAGAAATCGCTTTTCGATGGAACCGATGCGTACCGTACTCGTAATTTTAATCAAGAGCCACTCTACGTTTGAATGCAGAGAAGATGAATATGATAATGATATGATATGATGTGTGACATGTACGTGAAAGCCGAGCAACTCAATATTAGTTTTAGTATTACAATTTATTATCATGCGAAGCCTTTCACATCACTCCATCACACAACACACACACACACAGGCCCATAAAATACAAGTTGATATTCGAAAACGCGTTGGTTACCAAGCAAAATCCTCTACTACTTTAGTTGATGTATTCTAATTTTACACCTTAGTTGCTACAAAAAAAAACCCCGCCTTCGTCCCCACAACAAATACACCCTCGTATCAGCAAACCACTTGGACAAGTTATCCAGAGAACGATCCAAAGGTATGAGGATACGAATCGATTATTGATGATGACTATGACACCCACACCCACACACAGTTATATACATTTACATATACATAAATCTATTGATTTCTAATTTTAATTGTAAATTTTTGATTTTTTATTACCATGTATTTTTATTTTAAAATAAAGTTTTACAAAATGAAAGCCGTGTGGTGCCGACTTGTGCACTTGCCTTTTGATATTCACGATCCATGCCAAAAGATCATTCATAGGAACGTTGTAGAACCAGCTGGCTCTCGTTTGCAATGTCCAACATTTCAGAAACAAAACCCCCAAAATTGATAGAACCGACAAACCAAAAACACCAAACTATTCGTATTCGTATTCGTGCACCCAAGACTATGTTTTTGACTATTCGTTTTTTGAAAGAGACTTCGCTGCTGGCAGCAATTATTTTATTTGCAATTTTCGTTTTTTGTGCAACATTTAATAGGGCAAAAAATATATATACAAATATCTATTTTATTTCAAACAACCGTTTACAAATCCACTGCCGTGAAAAAACAAAAAAGAAGAAAAAAACACCAGCAACACGCATGCGTTTCGTTCTACAAAGATTAAGAAGGAAATAATAAGGGAACAGGCGATACTCTACTATAATTATGTACAACCACATATTGTAATTCTTTTGCATGAAAGAGACGCAAGAAAGTTGCAACAAAAGAAATTAAGAATTCCGATTAATGATTAAGAAGCCGATGGAGTGGGGCAAATTAGCGAGGAGGAGAACATGATGATTAGCATTAAACCTAACTAAGTCGTAATAAAAGAGTTCATTGTAGATTTGCAGGTCCCAAAAGGAATAAAATAATCCCAGCACATAAGTTTATACAGACATATAAAGTTAAAAAACAAAACAAAAACCAAGAAAATAACAAATAATACAAAATGAAAAACATGAATGGAATATAAACATAAAAGTACTTTTATAATAAACCGAACAACAAACGTACATAAAATTCAATGAAATACCATAAACAGATTCACACATTTCATGTTAAGATATAATATAATAAAGCGAATAAATAAAATATTTAAAACCAATTGATTATAAACATTTAAGCCCGCATTGTTTTCAACACCTAAGGCCCCCCGATAATGGTGCCCAGATGGATTTTTTATTTCCCACTGCAAATTCATTTAAACAGTGTTAAATCATTTAACAAAATAAATTAATTTGCAGTAAATATTTCAACCATCGAGTACAACTATCGATAATTTTAGCGGTAGATTTGCCATCTCCAGTTAATAGAAAATATAAATATCTTTAAAAAATGGATGCAAATGCAACAATTACAGGCGACGTGGATAAAACGCAGGTAACGGGACATATTCGGACAGCTGGCATCCTTCCTACACTCGATTTATTGCAGATACCGCCTCTTAACCAAAAGCGCATACTGGCATTTGTGAACCATTTCCTTATCAGCACCTGCACTTACCTCAATGAGTTTGCTTTGGGCTGTGAAACTAAGTTTGTGGAAATGGAGCGGCAATTACAAAAGACGGAGGCTTCTTTGATAATTTTGGAAGCCAAGCTGGCATCCATACCCACTGACAATGAAACGGATGTCGACACAGGCAGTCCAGCGAACCCCCTGCCAGTCACTACCGAGATTGATGCAGGCCCAACGCCCGTAGCCGAAGAACCACCTGAGCATGAGCCTGAAACTGAACAAGAGCCGCAGCCGGTGGGTGTGCGCGCCTGTGAGGATGTTCGTTATAGAAAGTTTTTCAAAATGCTGCATGTTGGAGTGCCGACACCGGCGGTCAAGCAGAAAATGAATTCAGAGGGCTTGGATTCACAGCTACTGGAGTGCGTATAAAATAGGAGAATATGCCTTGGCGGCACATATTGATCCCAGCCCAATTGTTTTCCATCTATTGCAGTACACCTGATCGAATGCTGGAAGATGGCGTCCGCGAGTAGACGCGACAACTTTTGGACCAGCAGCACAGGCTGGTCTTATTGTGATATATTGCTACATTTGTAAATTAAAAATTTGTTTCTAAAGCTTACGTCTACAATTAAATTTGTTTTATTTGCCGCTACATAAGCGCGGTGCAGAAAACATCTTTAAACACTTCGATATAAAAGAACGCTGTGGGTGGTGGCTGTCTAGAACTGGATCATCTGTCCCTTGCGCTTCTTGTCACCTCCCAACTCGAAGTGCTTGCAACGCTTCAGAGGAGTCTGCTTGCGGTACTTGCACTCAGTGCATTCCATACGCAGCACAATCTTCTTGGTGGTCTTAGCCTGCAAGTGAGAATAAATAAAAACTCATTAGTAAATGGAAAAGTTTTTGTTGCAACTAATTAAGCTTGTTTGGAGCTGCAGGTGGGGCGGTTATGGTCATATGAAGGACGACATAACGCTGCCTTTAAGGCCGGTGCAGCCGCCACATTTTGATTTGGCACCATATGTCCCACCAAAAAGCCGAATGCTCCATGAGCGCAGCGATTTAGGTCTACTGGAAGTGCAAACGATTTTCAATTTTTCTTTTAGCGGGGCGGCTCTTACCTTCTTCCTGAAGATGGGCTTGGTCTGGCCACCGAAACCTTGCTGTTTCCTGTCGTAACGCCTTCGGCCCTGAGCACCCTTACGCTCCTTGGACTTCTTGTACTGCGTCACCTTGTGCAGCTTGTGGACCTTGCACTTTTTGCAGAAAGTGCGGCGTTGTTTTGGTACATTCACCTAGTGGAGGAGGACACAAGAAACTGGCATATTAGATTCCCGGCAATGCAAGTAAACCAAAGACAATATTTCGAATTCAAATAGAACGCACTCAACGCACAAGATTATACACAATATTGCCACCAAAGAGCAACAAGCATTGCACTTTGTTAGTTTTCAATACTTCTACATGTTTTCAGCAATAATTATCGCGGATGTTTCACGATTTTTAAAAAGTAAAATTAACACACATACCATCTTGACACGAAAAACCAAAAGAAGGAATTAGGGATGTCAAAAACATACCTAAATATCAATATATCGATATTTTAGAGAATACAAATATTTTTGATATCGTACAGCTCTAGAATTTTTATAAAATTACTATTTTTGTTTACCTTCCAAAACTCAATTCAAAACGTAATAGCTGCAACTGTTGTTGGTGCTTCTGGCAGTCATTTAAATCAAATTGACAACATATAAAATCCACCATTTATATACTCAGTTTTTGGCGGTCCATTCACAACATTCTCATACACACAAACGCGCTATTCAGAACACTTGCCTGTTTGTGTGAAAACAAAATCACTCATTTAAAAGCTTCATGTTCTTAATTAGTTTACCATTCTCCATTTTTTGTCTTTTTGCTCGAATGAACAATCTTGAAGGTCGATACTATCGATGGTGAACCGACACAGTCGACGGTGGGCTAATTTTTCAACCATCGATAGTATTGATATCGCCATCGACTTTTCACCCAGCCCTAAAGGATCAGTGTGACAGCGGAATTATCGATCAAGTATACCGCCGGATCCTCAAAAATATACCATCTCATTTTTTTAAATATACCGTAATATTAAATCAAATTCCTCGATGTTGATATTCTATTTGATGGAGCTAGCTTGCAAAGACTTTTAACACTGAAACAATAATTTAATCCGATTGAAGAATCAATTTGGATTATTATAAATACTCCTTTTTATTGGATTGTATACCTTGTGACCTTATATTTTACACATTTTTTTTTGTATTTTACATTTGATGGTCAGGGAAATCTCTCCTGTGCCTAAACGGTCGTTGAAATTTTCTGTCAGAAGCTCTCCTGTTCTGAGAAAATCGATATATTTAAAGCTCTCCGACTCATTTCACAGTTGTGTACAGAAATACGCGCCTTTATTTAAAATAATTTCGTTTCTTTCGTTCCAGCGGATCCAAACGCTGGATTCAGCTAAGTATTCGGCATACATACACATGCTCTGTGTATGTACCAAGGTATGTACATATGTAAATATGAACGCTGGACCACCATAACGGGTCATCAAGTGTTCGCGATCGTGGCAACGGTATTCGTTCATACATATGTATATTTATGCATAAATTTATACATATACATGCATATATGTTTGTATGTTCTCTTATTTTTTGGAGATTGTCTGCACTTATGTAAATACATATGTGTAAACATACAACAGCGCGCTGCAATTGGTATATTTTGTTTGTGCTTATGTTGTCCCACAGGGTATATTTACATATGTTAATAAACTGCTGGCATTCATGGTATCGATACTGTATTTAATATTAACAGTGGGTAATAATGTTTGGCCAAAGTACTTTCGGGTTAGCCATATAACATATAATTCCAACGAAGCGACTCCTATTATATATTTAATTTGTTCATCTGCATTCACATATTATTTTAATGTGTAATTTTACTGACAATATCGATACAATCGATACCATCGATACCGACTGTTAGGTTACAGAGGCCTGGTAACGCGTGCTGCAGAGAACATTAATTTCAAAAGGGGACACTCCACAACATTTCTTTCGATTTGCAGAACTTGATGCGAACAGTCGCTGTGACTTTATTCGTGCATATTTTCTTCGACATTTAATTAATAATTAATCATGAGTCTTGACCAAGAAAAACTGCAAAGTGCTCTGGAAAAAATGGTCATTTCCGATGGGATACATTCCGAGTACAATAAGAAGGCTGTCACAATCGAATACTTTTAACGTTTAAATGAGCGCCATCATAAATTCTATGCATTTACCATTTTGTATTGTAAACTGCAAAACGAAAATTACATTTTGTATTTGTTTCCAAATAAGTTCATAAATATGTATACTCCTGAAAATCCTTGGTTGCATAAATAAACAATTAAATCATTATGTTTTAGTTTATCTTTGAGTGAGTCTCTACGGGATTACCTACGACATGAATCTAGTACGTCTCATTACCCTGATCACCGTGGGCCACTAAGTCTGTTCAATTTTGTGATGATCTCACCACTCACACATCAGCAGTGCGTACTGCTCTTTCGTACTTCTTGCTTCGGAAACGCTAATAAAGGATATTTTGCAACGTGTATATGTTATATATATTATCCATCTTACAGTCCCATGCAACAGACTTGCACCGAAAGAGTACCCAAAATGTTTGGTAGTTGATGTTTTTTCGTTCGCTGTATACGGTCACACAGTGGTATTTAAATACCACCGACCACTTTCCCCCCCGTCGCACTGTAAATAAATCGAATCGGAACATTTTCAACCAATTTTTAGCGAAAAATAAAAATTGCAAGTAAAATACAATTGTTCACTGTTTAATTCGGTCACGCCAGTGACCTAGGCCACCCGGCGCCTAGTTCGATGCAATGTAAGACCACGCTGGGCCAAAGCAAAGCTGGCAAAATCCGGATGTAAATAGTACCCATTGGCCGTGAGCTGCTGTTGAAAATTTGCATACAAAAAAAAAAGTGGAGCTGCTGCGAAAGCAGCAATTAAAATGCAAAAAATGTACGCGCTGTTGGCAACCTTGACATTCTGGATAATCACGTTGCGATCACCGCTTCAATCCCAACAACTGCACATACCGCCGCCAGCGCCATGCGATCGAAGTCGCAAAGTATTCACCGAACCCTACGGCGAGATCAGCGATGGCCCCTCCGGCTTCAACTACACCCAGGACTCGCACTGCGAATGGCTGATCAAGGCAAAGAACGACAGTCAGTATATAACATTGACATTCCACAGCATGGGCACCGAGTGTTCCTATGATTACATTTACGTGTACGACGGCGATTCCTTCAATTCCACGCTGCTGGGCAGCTTCAGTGGTCGTACACAGCCCCAGCGCCTGGTGGCCCGCAGTGGCAGTGTAAGTAAATCACAGTACAAATATTTATTTATTATATCTTACCCCCCACCGTACCACATTGCATACCCCCCCTTAGATGTTGATTCTGATGTACAGCGATACCAACTATGTGCTGGATGGGTTTCGCGCTTCATATTACATATCAAATTGCTTGAACAACTGCCACAACCATGGCAAGTGTATTGGCCATCAGTGTGTGTGCCACGGCGAGTGGGTGGGCCCCGACTGCGAGGACGAGGCCTGCCCGCAGAAGTGTGGCGAGAGCCAGGGTCGCGGCAAGTGCCAGAAGAGCATATGCCACTGCTCACCGGGCTACAGTGGCCGCTTGTGTGATCTCAGCGATGATCCGCATGGCAACAGCTGGCGCTGGCTGGCCACCGATGCCGAGGGCATGACTCCACGTGCAGCACACACCGCCGTGTACCTCGAGGAGGAGGATGCTCTCTTCGTATTCGGTGGCTATGATCTAAACAATGTGATAAGCACACTGCAGGTAAGCTAAACACCCAGTAAGAGACGCTTAGACTGTCAACTAATCAAAGATGTTGTCTTTCCACAGATCTACCGCTTCAGCACTAGCCAGTGGGAGGATGAGTGGGGCATTGCGCTGCAGAGTCGCCGGCACTTTTATCATCCGCAAAAGATCGATCACACCCTGCTGAAGGCTGTGCTGCAGCACAAGAACGAGGATGAGGCCAAGCTGTGGGGCCTCAATAGCGATGTGAGCTTCTTTCGGAACATTCTGTACACGCTGGCCGAATCGAATCTGCATCAGAGACGCACACGATCCTCCCTGCCGCTCACCATAGTCAATGCCAATTCCACCGACGAGGAACTCAACGAATATCTCGAGGATATCCTCGAGGAGGTCACCGATCACAAGCCGCACGGCCGCTATGGCCATGCAGCGGATCGTGTGCCGGGCGGCTTCGTCATCTTTGGTGGCAAACATGCCAATGGCAGCTTCTACAGCGATCTCTGGCAGTACAATAATACGGAAAGTGGCGGCAAGTGGAAACAAATGGCCATCAGGTCGCATCTAAAGCCACCAGCAGTGGCCAGGCACACGCTGAACACGGCCCGGGATCATTTGTATCTGTTCGGTGGCAGCCTAGAGACGGGAGAGTTCTCCTCGAGCATCTACCGCATTGCTCTGCCCCTGTCGGAGGACTCACAGTGGGAGTTGGTCAAGCCGAGAGGTGGCAAAACGTTGGACGTACGCCTGGCGGCTCACTCGACCGTCTACTACAGGGCGACACATTCGCTGATTGTTTTTGGTGGCATTATGACCAGCCTGGCGCGCTTCTCCAAGCTCTCGGATCGCATATTTGCCTTTCAACTGGATCAACTACACTGGACGGAAATACTATATCCACGCACAGCGCTGCGCGACACGAATATACCCAGAGAGAGGGCCTTCCACACGGCCACCATATCGGGCAACTACATGATTGTCTTTGGCGGCTACACGCATCGGCACAACAAGGACGAAATCTGCTACGATAATCAAATGTACTGGTACCATTTGAGTTGCCACATTTGGATCAATCAGGTGGTGTCCGCCGAGGACAGTTTGTACCCCAAGGTGCAGGGTGTGTTTGCCCAGGCGGCGGCATTGCGGCGCAATCATACGCTGCTGATTGTCGGCGGCTATCATGGGAATGTGAATGCCGATCTGTTTGCCTACGAACTGCCGCAGGTGCTGCGAGTGGAGAATGTGCTGTACAATCCGGAGGTCTCCTGCCGCTTGCATCCCTCGCACACGGCCTGCCTATCAAATCCAGAGTGCGGCTGGTGCTCGGCAGATAGCAGCTGCTACGGGCGCACCATTGGCGCCAATTGCACAACCAATCTGCAGACAACGCGATGTCCGGGCATATGCCCATCGCTGGGCGATTGCCACTCCTGCCTGGTGCATGGCTCCGGCTCTGGCGGCGGCAAGGCCTTCTCGGTGACAAGCAAACTGGGACTCAACGAGTGCACGTGGTGTGTGCAGAACGCCAAGTGTCATCATCGGGACGATAACTACGGCATCTGCGGCGAATCCACTGGCTGGTGGGGCGATCAGGGCACGGAGATACGCACACCCACACTCTGCACCATCAACGATCGCAGGCCGGGACTGACTTACATCAAATATCATTATCCCATTAACTATACCATGCCCGACTATGTGGGTATTGTGAATGCCACCATGGTGGACTTCTCCTCGCCGCCCTTCACGACCCACTTTGAGCAGAAGCTAGAGGGCGAAATGCTGGCACGACTCGTCGGGTTTGTGCGACCCAGGCAGCAGTGGAATAACTCGGCCATGCAGGTATGCAGCAGCTACTCCTCATCGCTGCTAAGACTTGGTCTGGGCCTGAATCTCGATGAGCTTGTGAATGTCACCACGCACAGCTCCAATCAATCGTACTGCAGCAATGTGCCGCTGCCCACCACAGAGATGCCATTCCTCATTGACTTTCAGGCCAGACGACGCATTGGCTTGAACAGCATCTACAACACGTATCAAAAGACCAAAATGGAGCTACAACATCTGCATGGCGGACAGCTGAATGCGTTTACCTTTGAGTATTTGGAGCCTTATTACTCGGGACACTGCACAAAGTATGAGAATTGTTTGCACTGTCTCACTGATGCCTCCTGCTCGTGGTGCCCGCTCACTGCCAAGTGCCATTTGAGGTCTGTCAATGAGTCGGCGGTGTGCACGGAGCCCACGGATGTCAGCCACTGGGCGTATCTTATAAGCAAACCCACGCAGTGTTCGAACTGCAGCAACTATGTGAGCTGTGAGGCGTGTGCTGCCAGTGGCCTGTGCGAATGGTGGACAGAGGATGCACGTTGCGGTCGCATTGGCAAGTCCAACAGCAGCGTGCGTGCCATCGAGCAGTGCCCGAGATCCTGCCGCGAGCGACAAGGCTGCCAGGAGTGTCTGGGCGAGCGTGGACGCTGTGTGTGGTGTGAGGCGAGTGCCCAATGCTTTAGTTTTGCGGTGTACACCAGTGAGTATCAGTTTGGCATGTGTCGCGAGTGGATGGATCAGGTGGTGCCACGACAACAGGAGAAAGTAGCAGCAGCAGCAGGAGAAGCAGCCCCAGAGGAAGAGCAGCAGCCATCGCCTCCAGCCATCCAACAGCAGTGTAAATCCTGTGAACAACATCGCAATTGCTCCGCCTGTCTGCGCACACTCAGCTGTGGCTGGTGCTTCGATCGCGACAATCCCATCGAGGGCATTTGCATGCAGGGCGACTTTAGCTACAGCGCCGGCAACTGCTCGCTGGCCCTCAACAGCTCCTCGCATCATGATGCCGAGTGGGCCTATGCCCAGTGCCCGGATGTGGACGAGTGCGGCCTCGGACTGCACGATTGCCACAAGGAGGCCAAGTGCACCAACACCCAGGGCAGCTACAATTGTCACTGCCGCAGGGGATACGTGGGCGATGGTCGTTTCAGCTGTGTGCGCACCTGCTTTGAGCTCTGCCAGAATGGTTTCTGCTCTGGTCCGCCCGACTACACCTGCCGCTGTGACTTGGGCTGGACGGGCAGTGATTGTGGCTTGAGTTGTGGCTGCAACAATCACTCAACGTGTGCCGAGCGGCTGGGCAAGTGCGACCAGTGCCAGGCATGGACCGAGGGCGAACGCTGCGAGCGATGTCGCCAGGGCAGTCATGGCAATGCCACCGCCCCGCAGGGCTGTCATCCATGCGAGTGCAACGGGCATGGCAATCAGGATTTGGGCATTTGCAATGTGAGCAACGGCGAGTGCTACTGCAAGGACAACACGCAGGGACTCAAGTGTGATGCGTGTGCAGCCGGCTACTATGGCGATCCACGGGACGGCGGACAGTGCTACTATCAGTGCGAATCGCGTGGAATACTCTCGAATATTGGCCGCAGTGCCATTGGCTCGTATCAGGCTTATCGTTCACCCTGGGGCGCCAGTCTGGAGGTGAAGGAGTGCCTCTGGATTCTGCA